TACCAGGTAGGTAAGGCTCAGTGAGAAGAGTCTCTTTATGCTGATGGTGAGCCCTTGGTGCTCCAATGTTAAAGTAAAAGGAAAGAAAAAGACAAAGGCAGAATTACTAACAGGACTCTTGGGAACTGAGTTAGGCCACAAGTAGTTCACGAATGAGCAGCAGAAATTTTGAACTCCATTTGGTTTGAAATGTCATCTTCCTTCTGAGAACTGCCAGTAAATGATGCTACAAGTTCCATCCATGATTATCTCTAATGACAATTTGCCAAGTTAAGCATGAGTTGAAGGTGTTGTCTGTCTGAATGATGGAACGTGTAATGTATTTAAATGGCCTTTTACTTCCTCCTCTCTCATTCAGGATTTACTCTCTTTCTGTGCACAGACCTGACCCAAGACCCACACTTCTCTCATTTAAATTCTCATGTTTCCTTCCCCTTCCTTGGGTAAACCAGCCAAGGAACCTGAATCTCTGCCCCACTCAGGCCTTGCATCCCTTTGGCTGTGGACCCAGGATCCACCAAAACCCACATACAGAAAGGCTTTGGGCAAGGTTAGCCACATCCCCCAAAAGTATGATTCCCCAGACGTCCAGACGAGGGTGCAAGGAATGAAACCTTTTCCTAAGGTGGAACCACTATGCTAACGCAACAAGGTGAGGAGATCAAGGACCCAAGAGCTGCCTGAGTTGTCCACACAGGGACACAATCCACCAGAAGCAGACCACCTCCAGCTGAGAGCCAAGCCTGCTCACAAGTCCTGGGGTTGAGAGGAGAACTCCCCCAGTTACAAAGTTTCCTGGCCCACCATCTTGGAGAGTGGAAACTCAGCCAGGTTTATGGGAATTCCCAGAAGTCCCGCCCAGGAACTTCCACTGGCCTCTCATTGGCCAGACCTTGTCAGCTGGCTGCACTGCTGGGAAACATAGCGTTTTGTGTTTCTTGGTTTGTTTTATTTTCTTTTTAGCTGGGCCCATTAGCAGCAGGGTTCTGCAAGTAAAGGACAATTGTTTAAACTGGCAATACAAAGATTTGGTGAGAGTGAAGAGCAACTGGGAATCTTGACATTCTTTTTACAACAACAACAAAAATTTACTTTTGTACCAACCTAATACATCAGTTGGAGAAAAGGTTGACAGTTTCTTACATGCTTAAATTTACACTTACAATATTGCCCAATTATTCTGCTCTTAGCATTTGCCAGAGACAAATTAAAGCATATGACCACATAAAGATTTGTCCATGAATGTTTGTAGTAGCTTTGTTCATAACAGCAAAGCCTAAAAACAATGCAATGTCCATGAACACATGAGAACGTAGACAAATGGCGGTAAATCAACTCCCAGCAACAAATACTACTCTGCACTAAAAATGAAGTGAGTCACCAATTCACGTATCAGCAGGATGAATTTCATAAACATTTGTGAAGTGGAAGAAGCTAGAAACAATATGCTGTATGAATCTACTTACATGATAGTCCAGAAAAGGCAGATCTAATGTATAGTGACAGAAAGCAAATTGGTGTTTGCTGGGTCTGGAGTCTGTGGGAGTATTGACTGTGAAAGGGAATGAGGAAACTTTCAGGATGAATGGAGTATTCTGTATGTTGATTGTGATGGAGTTTGAACAGGTGTATGTAGTTGCCAAAATGTATTAACTGTGCACTGAAAATGGATGTGTTTTAATGCATATAAATGATATCCCCAGATTTAAAAAAAAAACATACATTTGATAAACCAAAAATACACAGTATACAAATCCACTCCAAATACGACCACTTATCACCACCTACTGCACTCCCACCATAGTCTAATTCAACCATCACCTTCTACCAGGATAACTGCAAGAGCCCTCAACCAGTTGACCTACTTCCACTCTTGGGCCTTGGTGCCTGATCTCTCCTAGAAGCCAGAGTGAGCCTTTAGTGAACATGTTATGTCCCTCCCTGGCATAACATTTTCCAAATATTTCCTTGGGATTAGAATAAAATTTGAAGTTCTTACCTTGGTATATCAAACAGGATTAAACTGAGCTGTGAGTCATAGGAGACCCCAAAATGCAGTGTCTTAAACAAGAGAGGAGTTTCATTTCTCTCTCATGCCACTGTAGCCTAGAGGCAATCAGCCCAAGTCTAGTCCCAGAACCCCAGATCCTCTTCTCTTGTTGCTTCACTGTGCTGAACTTCCATTCCTAAGCCCATTGTGTGACCCCAAATAGATGCTGGTAATCCAGTCATGACACCCACATTCTAGCCACCAGGATGTTGGAGGGACATGTATCCTTCCATTAAGAACATTTCAAACCAAACACTGCATGGTCTCACTTCTAAGTGGGAGCTAAACATTGGGTGCACATGGACATGAAGATGTGAACAACAGACACTGGGGACTACGAAACGGGGAGGGTGGGAAGGGAACAAGGGTCCAGAAACTATCTATTGGCTGCTGTGCTCATTACCAGGGCGATGGGCCAGTCATACCCCAAACCACAGCATCACACAACACACCTATATTACAAACCTGCACGTGTACCTCCTGAATCTAAAAAGTTTAAAAAAAAAATCAAGGAAATTTGAGGCACCACTCTCAGCCATATCAAGTGTCAATCACAGGGATACCTGCCTTATAAGGAGTAAAGAAAGCTGGAAAATATAGTCATTATTCTGTCAAGCTAAAAAGGAAGATTCCTATGCTGACGAAGAGAGGAGAGAATGGATACTGAGGTGGGGAAACCTCAGCATCAGCCACACATGTCCTATCAAGGTCCACACGGGTCTGACCTTGATCACTTTCTTCCGACTGCTCTCCCTCTGCTTCAGCCACCTGACCATCTTGTTTCTCCAGCACATCAAGCTTAATCCAGTGTCACTCACCCTCTCCTGCCTGGACAGCTTCTCCTAAGTACTTACAGCTCTCCTTCCTCTCTTCATTCAAGTCTCTGTTCCAAAGTCAGCCTTCTCAAGGAAGCCTTCAGAGCAACTCACTCAAAATAGCTCCAGGTCACTCACTATTCACTCGCCAAGCTTTGGTCTGAAACTTGCTCCTAAAGATGCATTTTACCTTTTTGAAAATTACAGAAAAGAGGCCGGGCACAGTGGCTCAGGCCTGTCATTCCAGCACTTTGAGAGGCCAAGGCAGGCGGATCACTTGAGGTCAGAAGCTCGAGACCAGCCAGGCCAACATGGTGAAACCCCATCTCTACTAAAAATACAAAAATTAGCCAGGCATAATGGTGGAAGCCTGTAGTCCCAGCTACTCAGGAGGCTGAGGCAAGAGAATTGCTTGAACCTGGGAGGTGGAGGTTGCAGTGAGCCAAGATCCTGCCACTGCCCTACAGCCTGGACAGCAGAACAAGACTCTCTCTCTCTCTGTACACACACACACACACACACACACACACACACACACACACACATATATGACTCCCAGCAACAAACACTACTCTGGACTAAAAATGAAGTGAGTCACCGATTCACGTAACAACAGGATGAATCTCATCAACATTTGTGAAGTCTGGCCAACTGGCCCCAAAGGCGCCACGACTCCTAGCAGGACCCGGCCATCGGAGCAGAGGAGCCCTGCACGGGGCTCCAGGTGCACCTGTGCCCCCTCCAGATCCCCAAACTCCAGGGTCAGCTCCCTCCACCTGGACACACCCAGAGACCGAGGTTGGGGGGAGTGGGGGTAAGCTTCCTAAAAGCAGAGCACCAGCGCCACACACGCAGCTCCTGCCTCACCTTTGCTGTGCAGGGCACCCAGCACTGGGTGCCGCCCGGGACCGCACGTCCGGAGGGAGTCCTGAGACTATATATGCACACATATATGGAGAAGAGGCCCAGGTTTGGTGGCTCAGGCCTGTAATCCGAGCACTTTGGGAGCCCAAGGCAGGTGGATCACTTAAGGTCAGGAGTTCGAGACCAGCCTGGCCAACTTGTTGAAACCCCATCTCTATTAAAAATACAAAAAATTAGCAGGCTTGGTGGCACATGCCTGTAGTCCCAGCTACACAGCAGGCTAAGGTGGGAGAATCACTTGAACCCAAGAGTCGAAGTTTGCAATGAGCCGAGATCTCACCACTGAGATCCTGCAATCCAGCCTGGGGGACAGAGCCAGACTCAGTCTCAAAAAAAAAAAAAAAAAAAAAAAAAAAAAATTACAGGAAAGGAAAATTCTCCTGACCCCTACCAATTCCCCCCTCTCAAATCATGTTTATATACTTGTATACTTGGAGGTCCACGGAGAAACAGGGCACTCTTTCTAAACCATAGAGGGCATATTTGTGAAAATCTGGGTCTAGTTGGGAAGCATCAACTTCAAAGGCTATGGGTTTCCAGGGAACTCGAGGCTGTGCGTGAGGCATCCAGGACAGCAAAAGCAACTTTTCCGTTTCTCTCAGCAATGTTCAGTCCCACGCGTGCATGGCTCGGCTTCAAGAGCTCTTAGGTGGAAAGGGTTCCAGGAAAAGAGGATGTGATTCCCCACTCTGAGACCCTGACGGGCACCCGTGTCTGGCTGGGAATGGCTGTAGGGATGCTGCGCAAAGGTTCCTGCCATTTTCTATCCGCACAGGTGATCTGAACTGAGGCAGGGTAGGTACCCAACGGTTGGAGCCGAATTGAACCAGAGACCGGGCTCTCCCTCGTTCTAGTACCACAGTTGGGCTGACCTAGCGATAGGAAATGGGACACTGTGGATCCCAGGGTTTGGGGACAATCTTCAGAATCTTTCTCTTACCCACATCCTCTTAACTACTCTCAGGCAACACCTTGGAGACGCTGGAGTCCCCAGCTGGCCCCAAAGGCGCCACAACTCCTAGCAGGACCCGGCCATCGGAGCAGAGGAGCCCTGCACGGGCGCTCCAGGTGCACCTGCGCCCCCTCCAGATCCCCAAACTCCAGGGTCAGCTCCCTCCACCTGGACGTACCCAGAGACCGCGGTTGCGGGAGGGGTGGGGGCGCTTCCTAAAAGCAGAGCGCCAGCGCCGCAGACGCCGCTCCTGCCTCACCTTTGCTGTGCAGCGCGCCCAGCACTCGGCGCCGCCCGGGACCGCACTTCCGGAGCGAGTCCTGAGACCCGCCCACCGCTCACCCGAGGTTCCCGCCGGCCGCCCACACCGCTGGGCGGCCCCGAGAGCAGTCGAGTCGGCAGGATCCTGCCGCTCCACATCCGTGCGAGGTTCACCCGGAACCGCTGCTCGCAGTGGGGCCGGGACGGCGTTTCCCCGACGGCGTCTGCAGCGGGTGCCGCTGATCCGCCGCCGCACCTGCAGACCCTGCCCCAGCCCAGCCCCTCTGCATCCCCCACCCCCACCCGCAGCCGCCCCAGCCCCAGCCCCAGCCCCGCCTCGCCTTTCCGGACCCGGCTTTCCCCGCTCCTGGTCCCCTCTGCCTCCAGCGATGCCAACCACCGGCTCCACCACCTCCCGCCCCGCGCAGTCCCCCGAACCTCCCATTTGCCCCGCAGTCCCCCACTTCCCCTCCGGCGCCCCCGCCCGGGCGGGTGGAGAAAGCCCCCAGCCGGGAGCAGAGACTGCGCGGGGACTGAGCGGAGGGTCCGGGATCCTTCCAGGGCCCCTGTGGCAGCGCTGGAAGAAGAGGCGCGGGGAGAAGGCGGCGTCTCCGGACGAATCCGCTCCTCCCGCTGAGAAACTTCGCTGTGGCCACCGCTTTCTTGGCGCTGGGCGGCCGGCGTTGCAGCCCTGGGCAATTCCGGCCAGATCCCCAGGGAGCAGAGACAGAGTTGGACCCTTCACCCGGCCGAGGCCCGGCGGGGCTGGGGCAGCATTCTCCAACCCCCAGCTTATGGGGCACACCCTGCTCTGGCTTGACTGCTGGGAACACCTGGGGTTAAGAGGCCCATGAGGCTTAGTATAGAAAGATCTTTTTGTACATGGGGCAGGGGTGGGGGGCGCGGTCCCAAGATGCAAAAAAGTGGGAGGAGATACGCGTGAGGTTAAGTGGCCCATGTGGATTAGTATGGAAACATCTATAGTGACATGCGTACATGGGGCTGGGGTAGGGGGCGCGGTAACAAGATGCACAAAGAGCGGGGAGAGATACATATGCCAGAACTTATACCAGAATACATATACCAGATACATATACCAGATACATATCTGATACATATACCAGAAACTTAACAGTGATGACCTCGGGAAAGGGAAAAGGAATAGGACATAGGGATAGAGGAACATTTTATTTTTCAATCCATGCTTTTCCTGCACTGTTTGATTTCTTTCCTCAGTGCACTTGTGTGCAAGTGTCGGGGGACTCAGGAAAGCAAACATGAGTGCCCCAGACTTGTCCCTGCCCCTGTAGTCCTTTCTGTGCAGAATCAGGCAGAGGGGGCCTGCGTCCTCTGCCCTGGCCCCTCGACCTTTCCCTCTGATTTTTAAAGCTCTGTCTTCTCTTCTGTTCTTCCAGTGGCATCTGTTCAGGTTACTGATGCAGGGGTCTCACAGGCCCTGGGAGGGTCTGGGCCTCCTGAGGGCAGGATTCTGATCCTCTTTCCAGAATGCTACAGATCAAAAGCCAACTCTTGGGAAATCAGAAACCTCACAAGGAAAGTCTCAGAGTCCAGCTGCAACCCCTTCTCCAAGACAGTCGTGCCTGGCAGGCCCCCCACCTCTTCCCATCCTGCCCACCGGGCCCAGGCAAGTCCTGCTCCCACCCTCACTGTCTCTGTCCAACATCAGAAAGGAAGCCTGACTTTCCTATTTGTCACCAACATTCCTGCTTATCAGAATACTCCAGAGGACGTCCTGAGCCCCAGTGCGTTAAAACACACACAAAAAAGAGATCAAACAAAGATAAACAACAGAGAACGATCTAGAAAAAATTATAAATCCGTCATTCCCCCCGCCCCAATCCCTCCCCGTCCACCAAGCCTGGACACACTAGAGAAACATGAACCAAGCCTAAGGGGGTTGGAAGTCAATTTGAAGAGCTCTCCCCAGCTAGAGAGAGCTTCTCCCAGCTTCCTGGGGCTGGAGGTTCAGGCTCTGCGGGCAGCCCCACTGGTTTTCACAGTCAGCTTCAATGACCATGACAGGGAAGACTGCTGGGAAAACTGGCCAAGCTAAAAAGTAACGAAATTGTTGGTTCTGATAGGCCGGACTGCAGCAACTTCACAGAATTATTTTGTTTCTGGAAATGAACTATATTCATAATTGCCCAGTTCTTCATTTCATTTGGCTAGCATAACCTGGCTTTGAGAAACAGTCATAAAATAAACCCTCACGGGGTTGTAGCCTTTTAAAGTGACGGGGTGTTTTCTTCTATTTTGTGAAGCCCTAGTGTGACCAGAGAATAAATGCACTTTAACTGTGTTTAATTTCTGAGTTGATGAGAATGGTAACACGTCTTATTATTTATGGCTGATGAACCAGAGACTGTTTCACCCTCCACTCCTCTAACCAGGGAATATAAATAAAAATTTTCCCCCAAAATGTGTCCTCCAACTCTTGCTCTCTGTCCTCTTTAAAATCTCATGAATTTCAGCTCTCATTCCCCTGCCCCGTCATTCTCCTTAGCTGAGAATAGTGCACTCTCAGCTGCAGAGGCAAATGAAGGCCCTGGACTAGAATTCCATTGACTGAATAAATGAAGCTATAGCAGCCTGGCTGATGTCAGGAGTGAGGGGGTGGGTGGGACAAGCACCATTCCCTTCTGCCTTCCCTTCTCACACCTTCCTATTCTATATTCTATACCACTATTGAATAATTATTAAACATGCATAGATGTATTTTTTTTCTTGTTCACATGTTGAAGATAGTGGCTGCTCCATGACACTATGTCCCTGAGTGACTTCGTGGAGCAGAGGCCCTCTGTATGCCAAGAGTGAACATAAGGCAGTAAAAGGAAACAAAACAAAATGAAAACACTTTTTTTCATTTACTTTAATCCACTGCAATTTGTGGAGAGAATATTTGTTATTATAGTACAGTACACCAGGGATTTGGTGTATCTATAATACATAAACTGATATACTTCAGGACTCAGATTTCATTATACTCACTTACCTACCTTGGTTTCCTGAAGATTGTCTAGGATTTCCTACAAGTTAATTACTAAATATTGGAGTAATATACTTCTCATTTCAATGGAGTAGTCATACTTGAATAAGTAGTTTCTGGGTGATTATTATAAGTAAGCACTGGGTGAGGTACATGCAGTAAAGGAGGTTAGGGACCTGCACAAATACCTGGGATACATTTCAGACAAGGGCACAGAGTGGAAGCTGTCAGAGTCCAGAGAAGAGAAGGGTGGCCACATCCCCTCCCACCTAGTGCTCTTTATTAACTCTGGTTATATTTCCATTCCTTAAACAAGCCAAGCCCAATTCTCGCTCGTGGCCTTTGAACTTGCTGTTCTGTGTTTCAGGAATGCTGTTTTTATCATCTTCTTTTTAGCTTAGATGTGACTGTCACAGTGAGGTCTCCCCTGGCCATCCTATGCAATGAAGGGCAAGGACATTATCTTGCTCACTGCTACATCCCCAGAATCCGGCATGTCCATGGCACATATCAGACACAATAAATATTATTGAAATGAGGAAAAGAAGATTATTTTTGAAAGTAACTCTTAATTCAAAGCTTTGGTGATATGAAGGTTTTAATGGTGGAAACGAAGAAGATGAGAAAATGGTGTTGCATAGCAAATTTATGGAAAATGGAAACAAAAACATGAGAGATCACAGAAGTAAAAATGTTTGTACCCAGTCAACCAACAAACCATCAGGCAAAGAAATAATCAGATTTTCCAAATATCAAAACCTTTGCCATTGGTCTGCAAGCATACAGAAAAGATAACACTCGGCTTTCTAAAGTTTAGTGCTGTTGAACTCATTAGAAACTGAATTTTGAATTTATAATAAGAATTAATGCAATTCAAATGCCTGTCATGTGAAGTATGACACAGCTCTTAATTTTTAATATTATTCTGCCTTTTAGATGCATCCCCTGGAGGAACAGACAGGAATTTAAGACATGGCATTATTTATGAATATTTAACTATGTGGCTAGCTACAGAAGAAGCAAAGACACCGATGATTTTTGCATGTTGTACTAGACAGAATAAAGAACTCCAAAGATGTCAACATCCTAATCTCTAGAACCAGTGAACATGTTAACCAGTATGGCAAAGGGGACTTTGCCATTGTAGTCAAGTAAAGAATCTTGAACTGTGGAGATGATTCTGAATTATCTGAGTGGACCCAATGTAATCACAAATGTCATTATAAGAAGGAGGTAGAAGGATCAGAGCCAGTGAAGATTCCAACACAAAAGCAGAGGTAAGAGCGATGCAAGTGATGGCTTTAAAAATGGAAGGGGGCCATGAGTCAAGAAGTAGGGGCGGCCTCCAGAAGCTGGAAGAAGTAAGAAAATGGAATGTCCCCTATGGCCTCCAGAAGGACGCAGTTCTGCTGATACCTTGATTTTAGTCTGGTGAGCTGCATTTTGCACTTTTGACATTCAGAACTGTACAATCATGAATTTGCATTGTTTTAAGCTACAAAGTTCATAGTTATTTGTTACAGCAGCAAGAGGAAACTAACACACCTGTGAGGAGTCATTTCCCCTGATATGGTGTGGCTCTGTGTTCGCCCACCCCCAAATCTCATGTTGAATTACAATCCCCAGTGTTGGAGGAAGGATCTGGTGGGAGGTAATTGGATCATGGAGACAGACTTCCCCCTTACTGTTCTCACGACAGTGAGTGAGTTCTCATGAGATCTGATTGTTTGAAAGTGTGCAGCACTTCCCCCTTCTCTCTCTTCCTCCTGCTCGAGACGTGCAGGACATGCTTGGTTCCCCTTCACCTTCCGCCATGATTGTAAGTTTCCTGAGGCCTCCCCAGCCATGCTTCCTTTACAGCCTGCAGAACCATGAGCCAATTAAACCTCTTTAATTTACAAATTATCCAGTCTCAGATAGTTCTTTATGCAATGCAAGAACAGACAAATATCCCCTCCACCCATCATCTCAGGCTCAGGTAGCTAAAGAAGCTACACAGCTAGACCGATGGCTTCCTGCACCTCCTTAATACTCAGTGATGGTTGATTTTTTTTAAAAAATGAGATACAAAAAAAGTCTGCCAAAATTATATTATTTTGGCACTTGGAATGATGCA